TATTTATACACTCTATCAGTTTGATTTTTTTCATACTGTATTTATCTGTTTTCTCCTATTGCAGTTGTGTATACGCATTCAGTTTTTGCAATTACCATTTCTCTAGTTGAGACCAGTGGGACTCAGGCTAATTGAGACGTGGATCCAAAACACCACTAGCTGAAAGTAAGTTTTTTAATGATATATATTAAATTTGGATTGTGGCACTGTTTAAATTAGACCATTGTTTTGGTAATGGAACAACATCAAACCCATTAATATTTTTCCTTTTTCCGCTCTCTGCACTTGAATAAATTTTATTGCTTTTGGCAAAGAATTCTTTATAATTTCAGATCTGCATGAAATAATTGTAACTACTTAGTAAATAGTTTCCTAGTACAGGTAATCCTCAACCTAATCCCAGACTTACAACCACAGTTGGGTCCAAAATTTATGTTGCTAAGTGAAACATTTGTTAAGTGAGCTTTGCCCCATTTTACAACCTACGTGCCATAATTATTAAGTGAATCACTGCAGATGTTAAGTTAGTAATATAGTTGTTAAGTGATCTGGCTTCCTTATTGATTTTGCTTGTCAGAAGGTTGCAAAAGGTGATCATATGACTGCAGGCCACTGCAACTATCATAAATATAAATTCGCTGCCAAGCATCTGAATTCTGATCACGTGACCTCGGGGATTATCATAGCATTTATACAATGGTTGTAAGTGTGAAAAATGATCAGAAGTCACTTTTTTCAATGCTGTTGTAACTTTGAACAGTTACTAAACAAATTGTTGTAAGTTGAGGACTACCTGTATTTCTAAAATTATGAAGTACTTCTTATATGCAGATCTGAATTTATGAAGAATTGAAGTTATATATGTTAGTAATTGCCTATCTTTAACAATAATCCTATTCTTACATGTGTTACACACTTTGTTCTATAACATTTAAAGTCATACTCATGCTGTTTTTATATTTCTTTTATGGTAAATGGCAGCAGATAAAAATTGCTGAACTTCACTTTATAATCTTGTGTTTTGTCTGTACATTTATTTTGCAATTATCTACATTGTGATCCATTGTTATATAAATGTAAATAATTTCATATTGTCTGTGTTCTACAGGAGCTTGCACCTAGATTTTAAAATAAATGTCCACATTTTGGTTGCATTATTTTATCATTGTAAGGGTAACAGTGGTGCTACTGGTGTATGTAGGGTAGTGCAAAATGTTCTCTCCTCTTCTGCCATGGCCTTTCTTTCAGCTTTTGACTTCTGTACCACTTTTTATAAGTGATATAGAATTTTTTGGCATAATAAATTATTTTTAATCCAATATTTTATTTGCTGTAAACCAGACTTACGTTTTTACCATTTTACCCATTATCTAACAATACTGGGAGTGGCCTGTGTTTAAAAAGTTAAAATCTTTCCAAATAAATAGCTCCTATAAGGGTGGGAAAATTGAGAGATTTTTTTTAAAAAAAAATTTATTCTGCGATTACTTGAGTAGTTATTATTATTAGATTTATATCCTATCTTGGCAAAGATTTGGCTGCATGAGTAATGTTTACTTGACTTTTATATTAGCAATTTTTTTAAGAGGTTCACACATTGTACTAAATTATTATTTACCTTAAAATTTGTTTCTAGGACATGTGGCTATTTTTGTACATAGTGGTATTACTAAAATACAGACTATAATCATAGGGTTGCTAGAATATGCTAAGCCAGGAGTCGGCAATCCCGTAGCTCCAGAACCGCGTGTAGCTCTTTGATCCCTCTCCTGTGGCTCCCTGCTGACCTGGTTGCACAACCTGCTCTCCACCCCAAGAAGGTGCGAACCTCTCCCCAGAGCCGCGTGGCTGAAGCGCCCCTAGTGTTTTCTCCGCACTGCCCTTGACCAGCTGCTTTTTGTGATTCCGCTTCCTTTGGTGGCAGCTCAGCGCCAATTGGGGCCGCCTTTGTGTCGGCTCAGGAAGGAGGGGAATGGGGAGGAGCAACTGCCACTGGATCCAGGGAGGGAAGAGCTCCGGCTCTCTTGCAAGGCTGGCTACACACCTGAGCGTGCAGTGGCAGCAACAGGAGCTGCTGCTGTGATCCCAGCCCAGGAGGGTATCCCACTTGTGTGAGCGCATGAGAGATATGAGAGACAAATGAGAAAATGGTGAAGAGAATGAGAGGAAAGACAGAAAAATGAGAGAGAGATAAAGGGGAGAGAGAAATGAGACAGCTGGAGGGAGAGAATGAGAGGGAAAAGAGGGAAACAAATGAGAGAGAAGGGGGAGAGAAAGAAGAGAGGGAGATGGGAAAAAGAAAAACAGAAATGGGAGGGAAAGAGAGACCCATTTCTCACAGAAAATACCGGGAGCCACAAAACCTGGGTAGGAATGGCGGTGTGTGTGTGATGTGACTGGGTGGGAGTGACATTGAGTGTTTAAGGTTGCAGGCAAAATAGAACAAATTGCCATTGCTCTATTGTTACAGGTAGTAGGAGTAGTCCTTGATTAGAACCATTAGTTTAGTTACTGTTACAAGTTATTGTGGAACTGGGGGGGGGGAGGTGACATATGACCATTCTTCACACTTATGGCCATTGTAGCATCCCCATGGTTACATGATTAAAATTAAGACGCTTGGCAACTGGTATATATTTATGACAGTTTCTGTGTCATGGGATCATGATCACCTTTTGTGACCAGACAAACAAAATTAATGGGGAATCCAGATTCACTTAACAATGTTACTAACATGTTACTAACTTAAAAACTGCAATGATTCACTGAACAATTCTGGCAACAAGAGTTATAAAATGGGGGGAAATTCACTCAACTCTCTTGCATATCAACAGAAATTTTGGGCTCAATTGTGATCATAAGTCAAGGATTACTAGTATAGACAATTGGTAAAAAAGTCTGGTAATATCATTGATGTTCTATTTATCTTTCAAATCTGTAGAGGGTTTTTGTTTCCTGTGATTACAAGTCTTCTTTTAGTCTACTCAAGATATTTTGGTCAAATTTCATGCAACATTTAATTAATTTTATCTGCCTTTAATAATCTAGGTACTGATTTGTGTTTAGATTTTTTTCAGATATTTACATGCCTTGTTAACTTTATCGTTAGATGTCTATGATATATGTGTTGCCTCTGTTAAACAGATTAGTGGTCTAAATCAGGGATCTCGAACCTCCAGGCCACTACCAGACCATGGCGTATTCGGAACGGGGCTCTGCAAGTGGTGGACCGATGTATATGCTCGCATACACAGCTTGGCTTTTGCAAGTAGTGGGCCAGCGCACAGACAACTCAACTTGCGCAAGTCGAGCTGCGTGCCCACCGGTCCACTGCTCATGCAAGTTAAGCTGCAGATGAGTGTCAGTCCACCACTGGTCTAAGTTGTAACATTTCCACTACTGATTTAGATGGTGTTAGATTTTGTTCTTATTCTGGAAATGGTTAAAAAAAACTTGGATATAATTTTGGGCCAAGTACTCCTGGTCTGCAAGTGACTTGCCCTGAAAATAGGATTGCACTAATCAAATATAAAGAGTTATGAGTCACTTTGATTCATATGCACATATTTTTGTTTCATTTTGTGATAACATGCTCTAGATACCAGTGAATGCTATACTAGTGCTCTATATTTCAATTCTGATAGAAGTTTTAAAAATATTTTCGACAAATCATACAGGCAGAAAATGTTACTGAATTACCATTCAGTTTTAAAACTACATTATATTCCCTGTTTCTTCCAGGAGCTCTAATAGCTCTCCTTCTATAAGATTTCCCCCATAACAACTCTGTAAAGTGTATGTATACAACTATTGTTGTATAGTGAGCTTTCACAGCAGAGGATAAATTTGAACTTGGGAATTCTGATTATACTACCGCACTTTAAACACTATTCCATGTAATTTATTAATTGTTCTTACTCTCCAGTTTATAATTTTAATATGATGGTTCATTTGTTTTCTCCCTTACTGATACTTGTCTATTGGAATGTTATTACATTGGAATTGATTGTGTCATTTACTTTAGAGAATTATTCAGATTGAAAAATCTTTCATAATTTTGTACTCGCATAGTGCTACATTATCTTCCAAACTGGTTTGTCCATTTGTTTAGAGTATGGCATATCGAAACTGGTAATCAGGCCCAATTCCAGAACTTGTTTTGTCAGTAATCTTATGTTCCATTATGAGAAAATTAATTTATTTTTAGTTAGAGGTCAACCTTGAAAAAAAATGGAATATTTTCCATTATATTTCTTGAAATTTTTGAGATGTAATATTGTGACTGTGTTGGAAATATTTTTAGCTTTTGTCTGAAAAGCTTTTTATATGAAAAATGGAGATGTCTTTATTGTTTGGCATCACAGTGAGCTGCTTTTCTTCCATATGGGAAGAAGAGTAGTAGTGATGGCTGAGAATTTTCTGACTTGAATTTGAATCTTATGGAGGCTGCCTGTAATTCATGTGAAATAGTGCCATTTGTTTTGAAAAAAATTCTACTTTTTATGCATAATGTGGAAAATGTTGAATATTTAAAAATTAAATGTTTAAAATAAATAAAAATATTGAAAGATTAATAAGAGAATAAGAGAATCATGCATCCACTCTGAATGACAATATGTTTTCTTAAGTTGCCAGCATAAATTAATGTAAGGCTTATTTGAATGTTTAATATTTTTGTCACTTTAGTACAAGGAATGCCCATTGCCTATTGATCTGTTTCTGTAACATTCTCAGGAAAAAGCAAAAATATACTGGCATTTCCTAAAGCATTCTGAAAGCACAATGTAAAGTATGCTGAATTGTGAGTTGATCCTAAGTCAAATGTTTCGTACTTGGTTTCTTATTTCTTATTTAGAAATAAACTGTTGTCTCTCATATTCTTTTAATACTTTTTAACATTTTGTTATTTAATAATATTGTTTTATATGACATTTTTATTTTATCAATACTGGATATTTTTTTAATAAAACAACATTAAGTAATTTCAATAAAAATGTTCAAAAGCACTAAATATAGATAGTAATGCCAAGGTAATACCTATTTGCTAATTTACTATTGACAGTGACATTTAATTATGCTTCCAAAATACATTTAATATTTAATACAATATTTGTAACAACTACAACAATTACACAGATGACAAATCAGAAAACAAGATTCAAATA